CGCCACCTCCCAGGACCGGAATGATTATCCCTGCCCGATGGGGCTACATCCATCCCTGAATGTCGTCGGGTACTCTTAACTTCCCCGCGATTCTTGTAACTGTCACCTGTAATCCGCGCAGGTGTGGCCGCTCCCCCCTGAGTGGACGAGAAAGAAAGGATTTCTCAAAGCAACCAGACCCAAGAGTCAACTTTCTCGTATGAGCATTCGTTACATGTATCAATTTGTGGAAGAGTGAAAGGGTCACCACTACTGAGAATCTCCCCATTAATCTTAGATAAGTTGTCGCGGATTCACCGCAGTTCATTGTTGTGTTAATACACTAGGTTAACCTTTTCCGAAAGCTCCGCGAGACCACCTACCACTAGTCTTTGGTCAGAGGGGTTATTTGCAAAAAATGTCAGGACACTGGCTCCAAAACAAGGAAGCCCAATGAATGTCAGATGTAAAGCCCCGCATCTCATCAAGACAGTTCCCCGCCAGCAAGCAGTTAGCCTTCCTAAAGGAATGGAAGTGTGGATGAATCGATATCAAATAGATTAAATCTTTTTTTATTAGTATTTAAGTTCCTCCCAAATACAAGACTTACATACCCGACTCAACATTCTTGGAAAGTAATCGAATCGATGGTCTGTAGGAAAATTGTGAACTAATTGAGACCGAAATTGGAAAAAGAGATACGACCGGAGAGGAATAACCAATCGATGAAAGAACATGAAACCATTCTGTTTCAATAGAGGTACGAGAAAGGGTTGGGGGCAATGAAGTAGGTCAAGTGGTTGGATTTTGCGAGCTGTTCCAACCACTGCTGGATGTGATTCCAAGAGCCGAACGAGAATGAATACCACACAGAAGAGTCAAGACCAGGCTCCCTAATGGAATGTTTAACCGATCCATTCCGGATCGACCGAATTGGTACGGAAGTTGTAACATGGGAAAACCACGGAAAACACGACTTATTTGAATAACCCGGTGACCTACCAATTGTAGAAGTAGGATTTTTGGCAAGCAATAAGCACTTAAATAATACAATTCAAGTGTACCATCTTCTTTCTCATTTCGAGGAAAAGGTGCGGAAGGAAAAGGAAACAACAGAGGGATCCGAATCGGACCTAAATGGGAATGACATGAAAAGTCTTTTTCAAAACCTAGCATTAAGGGCGTTACGACGATATACGAGAGGAATAGATAAAAACTCGTGATTGGTGTAGAAGGGAAGATCTGTTTATGATATAGTTCAAGAAAGAGTCGTCTCATTTCCTTACTTTTTCGTTCTTTCTAATTCATTCACTTCAAGGCTGGTTCTGAACGCCGCGTAAGATCATCTTCAACCAACGTGATTTGATGTAACTGTTAAGACCGTCTGTGGGATAAAGCTTTATCCCAAAGGGCCTCATGATTCAAGTTCGCTAAGAAATTTCTTAATAAGGAACTCGAATCATTCATAGTTTT